GTGTGCAGGGGGAGGCCTGAGTGTGCAGGGGGAGGTCAGTGTGTGCAGGGGGAGGCCTGCGTGTGCAGGTGGAGGCCTGAGTGTGCAGGGGGAGGCCTGCGTGTGCAGGGGGAGGCCTGAGTGTGCAGGGGGAAGTCAGCGTGTGCAGGGGGAGGCCTGCATGTGCAGGTGGAGGCCTGAGTGTGCAGGTGGAGGCCTGAGTGTGCAGGGGGAGGTCAGTGTGTGCAAGTGGAGGCCTGAGTGTGCAGGGGGAGGCCAGCGTGTGCAGGGGGAGGCCTGTGTGTGCAGGGGGAGGCCTGAGTGTGCAGAGGGAGGTCAGCGTGTGCAGGGGGAGGCCTGAATGTGCAGGGGGAGGTCAGTGTGTGCATGGGGAGGCCTGAATGTGCAGGGGGAGGTCAGCGTGTGCAGGGGGAGGCCTGCGTGTGCAGGGGGAGGCCTGCGTGTGCAGGGGGAGGCCTGCGTGTGCAGAGGGAGGTCAGCGTGTTCAGGGGAAAGCCTGAGTGTGCAGTGTGCAGGGAGAGGTCAGTGTGAGCTCCTCATAAACGCGTGGTCAGCAGTGTCCTGGGGAAGACTGGCTTGTGCCCAGGCATGCGCCCGGGGTCATGCCCTCAGGGACACACCTGGTGACAAAGGCAGGGGCCGTGCAGCCGACACCCCTCCGGCTGACCCCAGCCCCAGGGAGCGGGCAGTCTGCACAGCCAGTGCATCAGCGGGTGAGGGGCCTGAGAGTGACGTGTGCCTCCGGACCACAGGCTGTCCCGCTGCAAGCTCCCCGACTCCGCCTGCCGCGACCTGGCCCAGGCCCTGAAGGCGGCCCCCGCCCTGACGGAGCTGTGCCTTCTGCACAACGGGCTCAGCCAGGCGGGGCTGCGGGCGCTGAGCGAGGGCCTGGCCTGGCCCGGGAGCCGGGTGCAGACATTCAGGTGAGGCTGGGTCTGGGCGGACGAGGGGAGGGGACGGGCCCCCCAGCTGCTCCTGAGGCCCCCTCCCCGCAGGCTGCAGCAGCCCTGCCTCCAGGAGGGCCTCCAGTGCCTGGTGGGCCTGCTCCAGCACAGCCCCGCCCTGACCACGTTGGATCTCAGTGGCTGCCAGCTGCCGGCACTCGTAGTGACCGGCCTGTGTGCGGCCCTGCAGCAGCCCGGATGCCGCCTGCAGACCCTCAGGTGGGGGTGGGGCGGAGGGTGTTGGGGACACGCCTCTGAAGCCGGGCGGGGGTGGGGGGTACCTGGGGCTTCCCAAGGGCTTGGCCCCCAGCTCCCGCCCCCTTTCCCCAGCCTCTGGCAACCCTGATGGGCCGTCTTCTGTCACTGTGTACCTCTAGCAGGGCCGAGGCCTGTCCCCACCCCCACCCCCACTCCCGTCACTGCCTCCCACTGCCCCCCCCTCATTGCTGCTTCCCTACTACCCACCTCCCTACTCGTCCTGTGCACGTGTGCAGCCTGAGCTCCGTGGAGCTGAGCGAGCAATCGCTGGAGGAGCTACAGGCCGTGAGGACAGCAAGGCCAGGCCTGGTCATCACACACTCGGCGCTGGACAGCCACCCTGCACCTCCCAAGGGACTCAGCACGTCCTTGTAGGCCCCGCGGGCGGCACAGCCAGGAGGACGCCCGTCAGTGAGGGGCAGCTCTGCCATCCGAGGGGGGCCGGGCAGGCAGGGGGAGGCCCCGACAGTATGCCCCCCAACTCCCCCTTGTGGTCCTCCAGAGGGCCCGGCACCTGCCCTTCCCCCACACCCTGGGCCCTAACCTCCGCTTCTCTCCCAGCCTGCAGCCCCCCCTTCGCAGCCCCGCCCCCAACAATGGTGCTGAGCCCCCACAGCTGAGCGCCTGCCATGTGCAGACCTTCACCTGGTGGCTGGTGCAGAGACATCTCCATCTGCGGTGCTGCCCTGGGCAAGGAGGTGCAGGCAGGGGCTGACCCTTGACCTGAGGTGGATGGGTGGCCCTCCCTCCCCCCATCCCCCGAACGCAGGTCTTGCATCAGGGGAAGCCATCCCTGAGGCCCGTGGCTGAGCCTGCGGAAGTGCCACTCCAAAATCAACTCGCCGTCTAGGGTCTGGGGACGGAGCCCAGGGCAGTGTGGAGAAGGCCGTGGCTGCCTCCGTGGCAGTGACGGCGTGGCGGTGGGCAGCCGGCCTGCTGGTAATAAATGCTCCTTTGCGTTGGTTCGTTGGTTTCTGTTTCACTCAGCCGGGCATCCTGGCCATCGTTCCTTTGGCACCTAACTCCCCGTCCGGGCGGCGTCCCCATTTCAAGGATGAGAAAACTGAGGCTCAGGGAGCAGCCTGACCCTGGATGGACAGGCCAGTGGTGGGCAGCCCTCGAGTCCTCCCTCCCAAGATGCCAGCTCCTGGGACTCCACCCAGTAGAGGACTGACTCCAGAGGAAGTGCCACTCCAAAATCAACTTTCTTTAAAAAAATTAATTAATTAAAAAAATATATATTAAAATATATTTTTATTGATTTCAGAGAGGAAGGAAGAGAGAGAGAGAGATAGAAACATCAATGATGAAAGAATCATTGATTGGCAGCCACCTGCATGCCCTCTCTGGGGATCTAGCCTGCAACCTGAGCACGTGCCCTTGACTGGAATCGAACCCGGGACCCTCCAGTCCACAGTCCAAAGCTCTATCCACTGAGCCAAACCAGCCAGGGCTAAAATATATTTTTATTGATTTCAGAGAGGAAAAGAGAGAGAGAGAGAGAGAGAGAAAGAGAGAGAGAGAGAGAGAAGCATCAATGATGAAAGAGAATCATTGATCGGCTGCCTCCTGTACACCCCCTCACAAGCCTGCAAATAGGCATGTGCCCCTGACTAGAATTGAACCCGGGACCCTTTAATCTGCAGGCTGACACTCTAACCATTGAGCCAAACCAGCTAAGGGCAGAATCAACTCCAATCCAGTCACTCGTTCCACAAAGCAGACAAAAACCCCTGCCCTCTTGGAGCTGCCACGCTGGCAGGAAGACAGACAGACGTGTAGACGGGCAGGTAAACGCTGTGGAGGATAGCGATGCAGAGCAGGGACAGGATAGGGAACTGAGGGTTCCTGTAACCTGTAAGGGGCCTGGGACCCTGACTGAGCCCCCCAACACCTGACATCCCGAAGAGAGGTGTCCCGTGGCGGGCAGGGAGGTGCTACATCAGCTCGGGGTGCCCTGACCAAATACCACCACCTGGTGGGTTTGGACAGCAGGAGTTAATTCCCCTGGTTCTGGAGGCCGGCCGGCCCAAGGCCAAGGTGCCGTCAACTCGGTGTCTGGTGCGGGGCCTGTTCCTGGCTGCAGGCAGCTGTGTCCTCACTGTCCTCGCCTGATAGAGACCTTGCCTGCCCTCTGGCCTCTCATATGGGCACTTGTCCCATTCTATATACATATACTCACATATATATACATATATATACATATACATATATATACATATATACATATACGTATATGTATACACACACACATATATATATATATATATATTTCAGAGAGGAAGGGAGAGGGAGGTGGAAACATCCATGATAAAAGAGAATCATCGATCAGCTGCCTCCTGCACTCCCCACCCTGGGGATCGAGCCCACACCCGGGCATGTGCCCTGACTGGAAATCAAACCGTGATGACCTAGTTCATGGGTCGATGCTAACCACCGAGCCACACTGGCCGGGCTGTCCCATTCATGATAGCTCTTGACCTAACGACCTTCTAAATGCCCCGCCTCCAAATACTGTCACATCTGGGACTAGATGTCAACGGAGAGACCACGTGGGACACCGCATGCAGTGCCCAGCGGGGAGCGCGCTCAGAGTGAAGGTCGCAGTGGCAGGAGCCAGGCTGTGGGGAGGGGGACGGGCACCTTGGGGACTTGTCCTCCCAGGCAGGTGGGCACCACTGCGGGCTTCTGAGCAGAGGGCACAGGCTGACTTCGCCCCTCGCAGGGCCGAAGGGCAGAGCAGAAGCAGGAAGCAGGGAGTGTGCTGGCCCAGGAGTCAGGGCAGACGGAGAGCCAAGAGCGGGCAGGGCTGGAGGCAGCCAGCAGGGCCCAGGGTGGGCGTGGGTGTGCGGACACAGGCGACCTGGGCGCTGGATGAGAGAGCGACAGGGAGAGCAGCTGCGGGGGTGGGGGATGGGGTGGGGGTGGATCTGAGGGCCTCTGACTGGGGGGTCAGACATTTGGGTCAGCCCAGGGCCGGGGGGCAGGGGGTTGGAGGGAGATGGAGGGTGAGAGGAGAGGCTGAGGAGCAGAGGGGATGGGCAGAGGACACCTCTGCAGGACCTCTCCTCCGGGGCAGATATGGGGGGGCATGCCTAGGGCCCTGCCCCCCAGCTCGGGGCAGGACGGGGGCTGTAGTTCTAATACTGCCTGACCCGCCTGGCCCAGCACGAGCACTGTCTGCCCAGCCTCCTTCTCGCCCTCCCAGCACCGCCCTGGGGGCGGGACCAGCCTCCCCACCCACCCGCCCTGCGCCGCCCCGAGGGCGGGGACCGAGGGCCTTCCGGCTGCAAGGCGTCCGCTCCTCCTCCCTCGGCCCAGGCCCCGGAGCAGCAGCTGAAGGCCCCGGCGGGCGGCGGTGAGCCCAGACGGCTGCCCCCTCCCAGGTCGCCCGGCCTCTCACCCGCACAGCCCCCCAGCACCCAGCACTGCCCCCTACGCCCACCCTGCCCCCAGGCGGCTTACTCCGGGAGACACGTTCCGGCCAGAGTTCTCACTTCCACCCACAGGACCGGTGCTGGGGTGCGGAGTCCAGAGAGCCCGAGGGTCAGGACGGAGGTCGGAAAAGGGGGGCGTGGGAACTCCCTTGTCCCTGGAGATCAATATGAGGGGCTGAGGGCTCCGAAGTGGGGGATCTGGGAGCCAGGGCTGCCCAGGGGACCCACATTGGGGGGCACCAGCCACGTCCCAAGGGCAGGGGCTTTGGAGTCAATAGCATCAAAACAGGGAGACCCAACCAACTGGGGGTCCCGTGACCCCACCCCCTTTTCCAGACCCCTCCGTTGAGCAAGGCTTTCCATGGCGGACGCCGGCGAAGACCCCACCATATTCACCGCCCACTCCCTGCCCAGCGACCCCCGGCTCTGGGCCACCGTGACCAATGCATACTTGGGCACACGTGTGTATCATGACACGCTGCATGTGAGTGGCGTGTACAACGGGGCGCTGGGGGACACGCACCGAGCCATCCTGCCCAGTCCCCTCGGCATCCAGCTGGAGGCCCCCGTGGGCACCGAAGAGCAGCTGACCACGACCTTCGTCCTGGACACTAACACAGGTAGCCACTGCCTGCCCCCACCCCGTGTTCCCGGTTAGTGGGGGGGGGGTCCTCGCAATCCTACCCTGGCATCTCCTGACTCAGGGTGCCCAGCTCAAAGAAAGGGGGCCCCAGAGGCTGCCTTGCAAGCTCGGGGAGGGTGGGGGTCCTGCCCTGGCAGGGGGGGCTCCAGGGCAGCCGGCACTTCCTCCACAGGCAGTGGGGCTCCCGGGGACTCACCTCACGGAGGGGGAGCTCAGTCCCAGGGCAGAGAGGCCAGCAGCTCTGTAACCGTCCGGCTGCCCCATGTGGGGCGGTGTGACGGCCGTCCCTCCCTGCCTGGCAGGCTCCTTCCTGCACACCCTGGAGGGCGCCCGCTTCCGGGCCTCCCAGCGCCTCTACGCCCACCGCCGGCTGCCGCACGTGCTGGCCTGCAGCGTGGCCATCGCCCGCCGGGCCCCGGGCGGCCGGCCCGTCACCGTGCCGCTGCGCTCTGCCTTCTCCCCAGAGAGCCCGGACTTGGACCTGCATCTGGGGCCGGACTTCCAAGGAGCCCGGTGAGGAGGGGGGCGGGGGGCAGCCGGGAGGCCCCGAGGGGGCCCCCCCTGAGACAGCCATGCTCTCACAGGTACCTGTTCGGCCACACGCTCACCCCCGAGCAGCCTGGGGGCGCGCCGCAGGAGGTGCACATGCTGTGGACACCCGTGCCCCCCGCCCTGACCCTGGGGGAGGGCGAGCAGAGCAGGACCTGGGAGTTCCTGGCCGTGGTGGCTGGCAGCCAGGCGGAGGCCCGGGCCTGCCTTTCTGAGGCCCTAGAGCTGCAGGCCAGGGGGGCGCTGTACCCCACCCACGCCCAGGCCTGGGCGCAGCTCTGGGAAGGCTGCGGCCTGGATGTGGAGGGGCCCCTGCCGCTGCGCCAGGCCCTGCGCGGTGCCCTCTACTACTTGCTCAGCGCCCTGCCCGAACCCGGGGCCCCAGGACACGTCTGCCACGGACTCAGCCCCGGGGGCCTCTCCAACGGCAGCCGCGAGGAATGCTACTGGGGCCACGTGTTCTGGGACCAGGTGTGCGCCCTCCGCCCCAGCACGCACCTGCACGCGGGGGGCACATGGGCAGAGGGTCTCGGGCCCAGGGCACGGCCTTGCAGGGGCAGGGCGCACGAGGCAGGGGGAGCAGTTGTAGGGGGGCTGCAGGCGCCGGGAAGACCTGTTCATTCGGGTGTGACTGAGACAAATGCGGGTTCTGGAGTGACCTGTGTAGCTGCTAAGGAAACGGGGGTTGGGGGGGTGGGGGAGGCGTGCGCATGCAGGGGACGGTGAGGCTGGGCAGGAGCGGAGCCAGGAGAGCTGGGACTTGGGGACCAGCAGGCCTGCCTTTCTGAGGCCCTAGAGCTGGGGGTGGGGCTGTGGCCCTCTTCACCCTCCGGGTCAGGCAGCCAGTGAGCACCGGAGCCGGCTCCCCTCCAGCTGCCCACACCCGATCCTGGCTGAGCCCCAGGCCAGACCCAGGTGCCCCCCAGGGAGGGGAAGCGCTGGGCCAGGGACCCGAGGGTGTGAGCTGGAATTGGGGACGTGTGGCAGGCAGGCTAGGGGGGCCCGGGACAGACCCACCAGCAAGGAGCTGTGCTGCCCCTGAGCCCCCCAGGGCGGGAAGGGGGAGTACAGGGTGCGCGAGCGCGAGCCCCCGCTCTGTGCTCCCAGGATCTCTGGATGTTCCCGAACATCCTCCTGCTCCAGCCCCAGGCCGCCAGGGCGCTCCTGCAGTACCGCATCCGGACGCTAGGTGGGGCCCTGGACAACGCCCGGAACCTGGGCTACCAGGTGAGGGAGGGAGGCCCAGTGCCCACCCCGCAGGGCCCCCTGGAGGGCTGAAATCACCAGATTCCTCTGGGGGTGGAGGAGGGCATGTGGGGTTCTTACAGGGGATCATTGCCAGCTGCATTGTACCCATGGGAACAGCCCGGCTGCCCCAGCGGGTCCCCTCACTGCCCTGTGCCGGGGCAGCCACAGTGGGAACTGGCCTGGGGGGGAGGGAAGATGAGGGGGAGATGAGGGGGCAATACAGTGGCACCCAGGAAGTTGCACTGGGAAGTTGGTGCCCCCTCGCCCTCTGTGGCTGTAGGCTGAGTGTTTGGGGAAATGTGAGCTCCTCCAGAGCCCCCTGATAAGGAATCCGGCCTGCACACCCCCCCCCCCCCCCCCCAGGGAGCCAAGTTCGCCTGGGAGAGCGCGGGCTCCGGGCTGGAGGTCTGCCCCGAGGACATCTACGGGACCCAGGAAATCCACGTCAACGGGGCCGTGGTGCTGGCCTTCCAGCTGTACTACCACAGCACCCAGGTGAGGGCGCCCAGGTGAGGGGCGCCCAGGTGAGGCAGCGCCCAGGTGAGGGGCGCCCAGGTGAGGGGCGCCCAGGTGAGGCGCGCCCAGGTGAGGCGGGTGTCTGCCCACCAGGTGTGGCCATTCCTCCTGTGGCTCTCCCTCAGCCGGGACTTCCTGCCTGGAGCCAGTCCAGGCACCTGGGAGTCACGCCTTCACTCCTGGTGCTGGGCATCCGCTCTGGATGCTGGGCATCCGCTCTGGGTGCTGGGCATCCACTCTGGGTGCTGGGCATCCGCTCTGGGTGCTGGGCATCCGCTCCGGGTGCTAGGGAGGGTGGGCAGTGGCGGGACCTGCAGGCCCATGAGAACTGGAATGGAGGGTGCCGGGGCCTGTTCCACCCCCTCCTCCCCCAGGACCTGCAGCTCTTCCAAGAGGGTGGCGGCTGGGACGTGGTCAGTGCCGTGGCTGAGTTCTGGTGCAGCCGTGTGGAGTGGAGCCCTGCAGAGGAGGAGTACCACCTGAAGGGTGCGGCGTGGCAGGAGGTGGTCATGGGGGAGGGTGGTCATGGGGGAGGGTGGTCATGGGGGAGGTGGTCATGGGGGAGGGTGGTCATGGGGAGGTGGTCATGGGGGAGGGTGGTCATAGGGGAGGGTGGTCATGGGGGAGGGTGGTCATGGGGGAGGTGGTCATGGGGGAGGGTGGTCATGGGGGAGGTGGTCATGGGAGAGGATGGTCATGGGGGAGGTGGTCATGGGGGAGGGTGGTCATGGGGGAGGGTGGTCATGGGGGAGGTGGTCATGGGGGAGGGTGGTCATGGGGGAGGTGGTCATGGGGGAGGGTGGTCATGGGGGAGGTGGTCATGGGGGAGGGTGGTCATGGGAGAGGATGGTCATGGGGGAGGGTGGTCATGGGGGTATGGATGGTAATGAGCTGGTGGATGTTTTTTGGTTCAAGATCAGGGTCAGGTCAGGGTCAGGTCAGGTCAGGGTAACCTGGTGTTGCAGCCCACACTGGCCAGTGCAGCGGGCAGGTCTGAGACGCTGCACTAAGCACCATCGTGCCTTTGTGCCCAGGAGTCATGCCCCCCGACGAGTACCATTCTGGGGTCAACAACTCCGTGTACACCAACGTCCTGGTCCAGAACAGGTCAGACCCGAGGCCCCGCCCAGCCCAGCCCAGCCCAGCCGTACAGGGGGGATGGGGGGCGCCGAGTGCCAGAGCTGCAGCCCCCGCCTCTGCCCTAGCCTGCGCTTTGCCGCTGCCCTGGCCCGGGACCTGGGTCGGCCCGTCCCCAGCCGGTGGCTGGCCGTGGCTGACAAGATCAAGGTGCCCTTTGACGTGAAGCGGAACTTCCACCCCGAGTTTGATGGGTATGAGCCTGGTGAGTGGACTCAGGGCCCCTTCTGCCCCCCAACGCCCCCTTCCCGACATAGGGTCCCTGTCCTCCTTCCCCCCTCAGCAGCCCCTGCCCACCCCCTAGGAGAGGAGGTGAAGCAGGCAGATGTTGTGCTCCTGGGGTACCCCGTCCCCTTCTCCCTGAGCCCTCAAGTTCGCAGGAGAAACCTGGAAGTTTACGAGGCTGTGACATCCCCCCAGGGCCCGGCCATGACGTGGGTAAGAGCGGTGGTTCCCACGGCAGCCCCAGCCCTGCCCCCTGGGCCTGTCTCCCGTCCCCATGCCGTGGACCTCACGCCAGCGTGCCCTCTGCCCTCTGCCCTCTGCCCCCAGAGCATGTTTGCCGTGGGCTGGATGGAGCTGAAGGACGCCCAGCGGGCAGCAGACCTCCTGGGCAGGAGCTTCGCCAACATCACCGAGCCCTTCAAGGCCAGCCTGGGCCCCGTTCCCCGGTCCCCTGGGCGGGCCGGGTGGTGGGAGTGGGAGCCTGTTCCTGGGGTCACAGCGCTGTGATGGCCACCCGACCTCCCAGGAGCAGGGACAGCAGCCTGGGGGGCGGGGAGGCTGTGTCCGGGCTTCCCGGCACTGACGGCCTCGCCCCTGCAGGTGTGGACCGAGAATGCGGACGGGTCTGGCGCCGTGAACTTCCTGACGGGCATGGGGGGCTTCCTGCAGGCGGCGCTCTTCGGGGTCACGGGGTTCCGGTGAGTGGGGTGACCGGCAGACGGAGGTCGCCACCCCTGCCGGCCCTCCTCACAGAGCCTCCCCTTCTGCAGGATCACCCCGGCCGGCGTGACCTTTGACCCCATGTGTCCGGCGGGGGTCTCTGGAGCGTGTGTCTCCGGCATCTGCTACCTGGGGCACAAGCTTGACTTCTCCTTCTCCGAGGGCTCGGTGACGGTGGAGGTCAGGCCCCCGGCCGGGCCCGGGGCGCCCCCGCTGGAGGTTGAGCTGTGGCCGTCCCAAACCCGGCTCCCCCTGCGCCCAGGTAGGCTGCTACCCCCAGACCCACCCGGGGGCCCCAGGCCAGTGGCCCCCCAGCTGGCCCAGCATGTGCCCGCCCCCTCAGAGTGGCCTCTGTCCCTGCAGGACACAGGGTCTCCTTTGCCCACTCTGTGGGCCGGATACAAAGGTCACCCTTGAAGGAGCCGAGGCAGCAAGTGCTGCTCCCAGAATGCCCTGAGAGAAACTGCTGAGGACATTGGAGCCCACGGCACCCCCCTGGACTGGACACCTGTGGGCCCCAGACCCGGTGCCACTCACCAGATGCTGACTGGCTTTAGGGACCTCTCGGGACCTTCCCTCTGGCACTCCCTATGTGGGGGTGGGCGGCTGGCTGCTCCCGCTCCTCCTGTCACCCATCTGCCTCCTCCCGCCCTCCACCTGCCAGCCAGGCTCAGGGGCTCCAGGGAAGGTCTGGCTTCTTTGGCCTGAAGTTCAAGGCTGCCTCTAGCCCGACCCCTTCCCTGCCCAGCCCGTGCCCACCGCCTCCCACACCAGCATGCCTGTTCCTGCCCCCGAGGCTGACCCCTGCACCTGCCGTGCCCGAGCCACTTGCCAGGGAGCGGTGGGCCGGGCAGGCGGCTCGCTGGGAGGCGGAGGCAGGTGGCCCGGCGTGGAGGGCAGCGGGGATGGGGCGGGCTGGACCTGTGGAATTGGAGTTACTCTGCCTCAGCCGGAGTTTCACCACCAAGAACTCTCCATGTGAGGATACCGAGGCCGTCATGGCTGGGCCCGGGTGCTCCGGGCTGTCCCGGGAACTCAGTGTCCTCCGTCCCTGGCACCCCAGCCTCGGGGGCCACTTCAGTCAGGTTGGACAGCCCCATCCATCCGTGTCTTTCTTCAAGCGGAGTGCAGAGCAAGACCCCGTGTCCTCTCTCTGACCAGCAGGAAGGACCGAGCCTGGGGCACAGGGTTCAAGGCCAAGGCCCTGGGCCTGTCAGCACGGGACAGGCTGCTCTGGGCTGGAGGCCCCGCTCGGCGTCTGTGGGGGCCATCACCCCGGGTCCTCGGGTTTCCCAATGAGGCGAGGCGGGGTCCGCGGGGAAACTTGGTGAGGGCCCTGCCTGTGGGTGCCGGGAGTTGAGGTGGGGGGCAAGGGGGTACCGTCGGCAGGCCCGGCTGTGGAGCTGAGGCTCCTCTGAAGTCAGGGCGTCCGGTGGATAGAGTTCCGGCCAGTAACTTGCTCCCTTTGAGTGAGTGGACGGCCCCCCTCCCCGCTCTGGCCAAGAGTGTTCTGGACAGAGGTGGTCCAGGTTCTCCAAGGAGCAGACACCGGGCAGATGGACTGTGACGGACGGACGGACAGACAGAAGGGGATGCCAGGTGGGTGGAGGCCTGGGGGGGTCCCAGGCCTGACGCTGTGTGGCTGTGGGGCAGCACGTGGGTCGTAGTGGCCTCTGAGGGAGGAGGCCGAGTTGTAGCCAGCACACGTGTCAGGGCCACTCCCTATGGTGAGTCCTTGGTGGCTCTCCTTCCCCCCCAGGGGCCCAGCAGGTCGTAAAGCCGCAGGGACTGTCCCGGGGCAGCAGCCCTGGAGCCAGGGGTGGCACAGGCACCCGGGGGCACCACTCCGCTGGAGCCTGATGCCCTGTGCCTGTGACCACCTGCCCACCACTACCTGTGCCCACAGCAGGTGGCCCTCCGAGGGACTCGGGCGGTGGGTACGCATGCTGGGCTCAGGCCCCTGGTAGGCAGCGGCCTGACTGGGTCAGGGGCCTTCAGCCTGCCTAGGACACAGCCTGGGTGCCCATGACTTCATGCCCCCTGGCTTGACTGCAATTCTGTCCTCAGCAACTGGGCGCAGGTGGGCAACCTTCATGCCCATCACAAGCCTCAGACCATCCCATGCGCCTGGGGCCATGTACCTGGCCCCCCGAGGCTGAGCCCTGCCCCCAGCCTCTATCCAGCCAGGTCGGTCCCTTCTTGGGACAAACTTGGAGCTCAGGGCGGGCAGGCGGCCTCCATCCCGGGCCAAGCGCTGGCAACTGCCCTCGTCCTTGGTCCAACTGGGACCAGCACGCAGCACAGGCCAAGGCTTTGTCTCCACCCCCAGGCCCCGGCCAGCGCCCCTCGGCCTCAGGGGCTGGCTCAGGGCAGCACACACTGCCCAGCTCGGGGCTGGGGCCTGTGGGCATGGGTCAGGGACCCGTCTCTGCAGGCACATGGGGATTGCTGGGCCAGCTGTTGGTGTCGGGGGAGGAGAAGGGTGTGGGCAGGCAGTACGTTGGGAACTCCTAAACAGGCTCCTCCCGCCAGCCCAGGCAGAGTGGATGGGCCAAGGGGGCTCCCTGGGGACGGAAAGGACCCTGGGTGGAGTTCAAAACCCAGCCACCCTGTGCTTAAGGCCCTGCAATTAGCCTGCCCTGTCATTGGCCCGGCCACAGCAAGGCCCCGGGGACCTCACCCAGCCACACAGGGTGTATGCATGTGTCTAGCCGCCCCCCTCTGCCAGCCCGCTGGCTCGGGGTGAAATACAAGGCATGGGCCTGGCATCAAGGACACTGAGAGCATCCTCACCCCCCAAGTCCACCCTCTGCACAGCTGTGTGTGTGTGGGGGTCCCTGTGTGCATGAGGGAGACTGTGCGTGGAGGGCGTGTGGCCATGCCTGTGTGCGCCTGTGTCCCGGGTCCAGACATACAGCCGCCCTACGGGACCTGAGATTTCTCAGAGTTAAAGGGACCGACCCAGTGGCCAAAGGAGAGGCGGGCACACACCCAGCCCTCGGACAGGGCCGCTCTCCCTGGCCAGGGACTCCCACTCACCGTGCACGCAGACACGTGCACAGGTGTGCACGCACACGCGCAGACCGGGTGGGCACACGTGGAGCCGGGGAGGCCCACCACTCATGCTCCGGAAGAGAGGCCACGAAACCACGGCGCCCGGCCCGGCAGCCCAGATGAAAGCTCTCTTCCCAAACGGGATTCTAAAAGGAGCCGAAGCCGCAGCCGCCGGGGCCCCAGGGGACGGCCGGAGACCACAGCCCACAGCAGGACATTCCAATCGGGCTGACCCCCTTCAGTGCCGGGTCCACCCAGGCGGTCTGTGGTGGGTGTCCCCCACCCTCCCCAACCCCAGCCAGGAACCAGCGGGGGGGGGCCCTTCTGGAACAAGGCATTTTTAATTGTGAGAGCAGGCTGAGCCTGGGGAGCCGGGAGGGAGGTTAGGGGAGCAGCAACCCTCCAGGTTAGGGTGAGGCCTTGAGGCCCAAACGGGGGTCTTCAGGGTCAGCATTAGGAGCCCAGCCTGGAGCCGGGGGTGGGTCTTAGGTAGTGGGGTTCCGGGAGGTCAGGGTCCAGCCCCCCGCGGGACAGGGACAGGGCCAGCCTGTCAGTCGTAGTCCGAGTCGTCGAACTTGGTGCTGAAGAAGGCGGCCGAGTCCTTGGCCAGCCGGGACAGGTGCAGCGCCCCGGTCACCACGAGCGCCAGCAGCAGCAGGGGCGGCACCAGGGCCCACATGGCGGCCAGGATGTTGTAGCACTTGGCCTTGGAGGCCAGACGCCGGGCCTCCACCAGGTCCCCCGCCACCTTCTGGTCCCGGGCCTGCGGACAGCGCGGGGCCAGGTCACGACGTGCGCTGGACCTGGGGGGCCTGTGTCCCCACCCCACCCCAGGCAGCCCCGGCCCCCGCCTTGGAGGGCCGCGGGGACCGGGAATCTGGGTGGAGGCGTGTGGCTGAGGGGACCTGGCCACAGGCTGCACCCGCTCCCTTCACGGCTCCAAACTGGACTCGGGGCTTGGGCCCTGGGGCGCAGCCTAGGGTGGGACTGCAAGGGACAGCTGCCACCTCCCAGGCCAGCATAAGTCCCCAAGGGCCCTCGGTGGGGAGTCCACTGGGGGGTTGCTCATGAGAACCCCAGCATCTGAAAAGCCCCACCAGACGCCCCTGAGGACACCTTCCCTCTCCGGAGCACCCTCGGTGAGGACACCCTCCCTCTCCGGAGCACCCTCGGTGAGGACACCCTCCCTCTCCGAGCACCCTCGGTGGGGCGCCCCTCCCTCTCCGGAGCACCCTCGGTGGAGACACCCTCCCTCTCTGGAGCACCCTCGGTGGAGACACCCTCTCTCTCTGGAGCACCCTCGGTGGGGACACCCTCCCTCTCTGGAGCACCCTCGGTGGGGCGCCCCTCCCTCTCCGGAGCACCCTCGGTGGGGGACATCCCTCCCCGGAGCACCCTCGGTGGGGCGCCCCTCCCTCTCCAGAGCACCCTCGGTGGGGCGCCCCTCCTCTAGGAGCACCCTCGGTGGGGGACATCCCTCCCCGGAGCACCCTCGGTGGGACACCCCTCCCTCTCAGGAGCACCCTCGGTGGGGCGCCCCTCCTCTAGGAGCACCCTCGGTGGGGGACATCCCTCCCCGGAGTACCCTCGGTGGGACGCCCCTCCCTCTCAGGAGCACCCTCGGTGGGGACACCCTCCCTCTCTGGAGCACCCTCGGTGGGGCGCCCCTCCCTCTCCGGAGCACCCTCGGTGGGGCGCCCCTCCTCTAGGGGCACCCTCGGTGGGGACACCCTCCCCGGAGCACCCTCGGTGGGGCGCCCCTCCTCTAGGAGCACCCTCGGTGGGGGACATCCCTCCCCGGAGCACCCTCGGTGGGACGCCCCTCCCTCTCAGGAGCACCCTCGGTGGGGACACCCTCCCTCTCTGGAGCACCCTCGGTGGGGCGCCCCTCCCTCTCCGGAGCACCCTCGGTGGGGCGCCCCTCCTCTAAGGGCACCCTCGGTGGGGACACCCTCCCCGGAGCACCCTCGGTGGGGCGCCCCTCCTCTAGGGGCACCCTCGCGCCCACCTTGACGGAGTAGGCCAGCGCCAGGAAGCCCAGGCAGCACAGGTTCAGGTAGAGGGTGCTGAACAGCGACCAGAGGAGGTGGTCCCGCGGCGGGGGCCCCGGCGCCCCCAGCGCCACCGCCGTGTGCGCGGCGCCGTCGGCCTTGCGGGGCGTCGGGGCGCGGGGCTCCTCGCGGGGGTACGCGGTGTCCATGGGCTCCAGCGCCGTCGCCTCCTCCGCGGCCGCTCCGGGGGCGCAGGCCCTTATACCCGCGGCCCGGCCCGGCCCGGCCGCCAAATATACCGGCGAATGGCAGCCCGGCCGCCCGCCCCCCGGAGCCCGCCCTGCCCGGCCGCCCCCCCGCCACCGCCGCCGCCAAATGCACCAGCGAATGGCAGCCCGCCCGCCCCCCGCCCCCCGCCCCGCGGAGCCCCCTCTCCCTCCCGCCCCGCGGATGGGCACTGCGCCCCGCGCCCCGAGGGCCCCCTGCGGCCCGTGCGCGGATAACCCGCGGGGCCAGCTGCGGAGGCTGGGGTGGGGGAGCTGTGGGGTGGGGGTGCTGTGGCTGCGAGGGTGTGGGTGCTGTGGGGGTGGGGGTCTGTGGGGGTGGGGTGGGGGTCTGTGGCGGTGGGGTGGGGGTCTGCAGGGTGGGGTCTGTGGGGGTGGGGGTCTGCAGGGTGGGGTCTGTGGGGGTGGGGGGCTGTGGCTGTGGGGTGGGGGTCTGCAGGGTGGGGGTGCTGTGGGGGTGGGGGTCTGTGGCTTTGGGGTGGGGGTCTGCAGGGTGGGGGTCTGTGGGGGTGGGGGTCTGTGGCTTTGGGGTGGGGGTCTGCAGGGTGGGGTCTGTGAGGGTGGGGGGCTGTGGCTGCGGGGTGGGGGTGCTGTGGCTGCAGGGGTGGAGTGCCCTGGGTGCAGCCCAGCCATCAAAGGCTCCTGCGGTCCTGGTGGGCAGGGCCAGCTCCAGGGAAGCCCTCAGGAGGGGGAGTTGGGGGGGAAGGGGAGGAGCAGAAGCCACAACGTTCCTCCCAGAACTGAGTGCAGGCCCTGCCCCCTCACCCTCCTTCAGCGTCCAGCCTTGGGACACTGTCCTGCCCGCCTCCCCCCTGCTGGACCATCTTCCCTGGACCTCAGCCCCTCCTGCTCTGACGGGGGACCCCGGGGCCGGCACCTCCGGCCAGGCATCCCCACCCCCCAGACAAAGCACAGCGGCTGGGCCAAGATTAGGAGCTGCAGGGGTCACAGTGGGTGTGGGGTCGCTCCCTCTGGCAGCGGCTCTGACCGGAGAACCACAAACCAGAGCCAGAGGCCAGGCGGTTTGGTGGGAGAATCGGTGCTTCCTCTCAGGGTTTCTGTCCCTCCAGGGCCACTGGCTGCCCCTAACCCTGCCCCCTGCAGAGGAGCAAGGACAGAGCTGGAGGGCCGCTCAGGAGGGGCTGGGGGCCTGGGCTGCACCCCTGCCCCCACGTGCAGACACCACGGCCTCCAGAGAACCGGCCGGCCGCCCTCACCCAGCACCGCTGCTCCCAGCCACTCGGAGTCAGCGAGGCTTGTCCTGGGGCCAAGGCTGGTCTGGCCCAGTGCCCCTTGGGTCAGGGTCAGACACTGGGAAGGAGGGGACCGCTCCTAGGCCCCTGGTCCAGCCGCTGCTCCCAGCTGGAGGCCAGAAACCAGGAACATCTGAGAAAGTGCCAGGACCCCTCCCAGCCGCAAGGGGGGGCTGTCTCAGGGGCAGGCTGGGGACCGGGCAGTGCCCTGGCCCAGGGAATGTCAGCATGGTCACGAACAGGTGCACTTTATTGAGCTCAGCTGCTGACAGGTGTGTGAACAGGTGCAGGATGAAGGAAGGGGTGGGTGCCCGGGCGGGGCCGGCGGGGGGTGAGGGTGGGGAGGACGGGGCGGCACCTGGGTGGCAGTGACTAGTCGGCCCCGCCACTCTGCTGGGCCCACATGCTCACATTGAAGAGACCTGGGTACCGATTCAGGAGAATGATGAGCCCGATGGTCGTCAGGAGGCCCAGGATCGTGGCCCAAATGTTGAGGCACATGGCGGTGGACGCATAGCTCTGCGCCCCAGTCACGTCTCCCACCATCCTCCGGTCCCTAGACTGGGGGAGAAGAGATGGTGAGGGGTCTGGAGGGGCCCTGGGCGCAGCCAGGCGCTATGACTCAGGCCCGCCCCTGGCTGCTCCAGCCCAGACCAGCCTCCACCTGCCCTCAGCCAGCTCAGGGACCCCTCCCTGTTCCCTGGAGCCTGAGCAGGCCAGGCCAGGGGGGCCTCCTCACAGCCGCTCAGCCTCCCCAGAACCTCAAGGCTCCTCTCCCCCAGTCCTGGCCGCTCACCGCCCCCTGCCCTGCCCCCCAGGGCTCTGCATCTTTGAGGACTTTGCCTTTTTCTGGACCAGACCGAGGCCTGAGGGGCAGGTGTGGAGGGCGGAGCCCTGTAGTTGGGTTGAAAGGAGAGCTTCAGGGGTGGGGACAGGTGACGACCCTCCACGCAGGCCCCCCCACACCAGGACTCTCACTGGATGAGTCGCGGCCTGACCCCAGGCTGACCCCCAGCACATCTGCACAGAAAGCGCTCATGAGGGCTCCCCATCCCAAGGCCGTCGGGGCAGCAGGCCAGGGGGGGCTCGCACAGCTTTCCGGAAGCCTCCACCCCCCCCCCCCACCCAGCGCACACCCACCTTCACGGAGTAGGCGAACGCCAGGAAGCCCAGGCAGCAGGGGTTGAAGAAGAGGGTGTTGAACAGGGAACAGATGATGTGGTCGGGCACCACCGTCTCGGTGGTGGCAGAGTCGCCGCCGTGGATATTGATCACTGTCCTCCCCATTGGCTTCTCGCCCTGGAGAGCCTCCACGTTGACCTCGGGCCCCTCCTTGGTCATCTCCGGTTTGGGGTGCAGGTGGGGTCCCAGGTGAAGAAGGTGGACGCGTCCTGAGACAGAGACGGGAGCCGTGTGGGTGCCGCTGCTGGGGTCGCTCAGGCCCCTCCCTCCTGGGGGGGGGTGTTGTGATTTCTCAGAAACATCCATTTCTGGGCATTTTGTAAATCGGTGATTTGGTGATTTGGCTGGTCGCTAGGAGGTCAGGTTACGCTGGAACCCTGGGAGGTGCCATTCTGGCACGCAAGCCTGGTCTTGTCTTGGCCTCTCTGGAGGCTGCTGGGGCCGGGGGTGTTTCCCAGCCTGGAGCCACCCCCCCTGGGCAGCCCCCCCCTCGCCCTCACACAGACCCCACACTCCACCCGCCGAGGAAGCTCTGTGCTGATTCCACTTCTTTTTTATTGGTTAAGCCTTCCCCTGAGTTAATGTAAAAAAACACAACAACAACACAAAAACCAAAACATTGAAACCTGCAAAGAATTTGTTTGAGTTTATTGGAGCCAAACTGTCAAACATACGCCAGGACGAATTGAGATGATGCTCCGGAGAACGGCTGGCGATAGACTGGAGAGGAGGGAGAAAGCAAAGGGGGTCAGGGGGAGGCGGGGGAGACCCTGGGGTTGTATACAAACTAAAACGATGGACACCTACTGTCCCAATAATTCCATAGGGGACGCATGCACAGGGGGCCTAGGGGGCCTCAGCCAGAAATCTGACACATACGACCCGAGGTACTTCATCAATAATCCACCAAGCATAAATCACACAGGAGACAGACGTGCAATGCACGGATCACTCACGGTTTATTCACCAGAGTCCTGTGGGTTCCAGAATCCTAGGCAGCCGCCCGGGGATCCGCACTGACAGACACACGGCTCACGGAGGACGTGCAGCTCAGGGTTCCGGGCTCGCGGCTCGGGCAGAGCTTTGGGGTGCAGGCAGGGGGAGTGGAGAGGGACCCTCTGTGGAGGAGCAGTGGGAGCGTCGCTGATCTCCTGTCGAGCTTGCTCTTTGTATGTGTCTTCAGTGCTCAGAGGGGTCCTCAGTGTGTCTTATCGGCGGGTCCCAGGAGCCCTGCTATCCGGTCTGACATACGGGGTACAGGTCACTTTATTTTCTACACACAGGCCACTCAAGGGTGCTTATCAGTTTGTTTACATTCCATTCCATACTTTCAGATATTACACTTCAATGACACACTTTCATACTTATTCAATATTGTATTTTTTTCCCCCTTATTACTGTTACACATACTTGGTGGGTGCAGGGACAATTAGCATGATAATGAAGGAATCTGTTGGTCTCAGTCCTGGCGCCCCCACCCACATTTGGGTGTGGCCCAGGGGCTCCACAAAAAGGGGAGTTACAAGTCACCCAGACATTTCAAGGGTGTGTTATCCTAGATGCAAAAAGGCCGGTGGGGTCAGGTAAGGTGAAGGGTGACCTTGTCAGGGAAGACACCAGCCTAGGAGGTGACTGCCCACCACAACTGCTTTCAGTTCAAGCTTCATTCCAGACCGTCCTTTGTGGTCGCTTTAGGTCTGGGTTTGCAAGACCGCAAGGTCAGCACGTGGCCCCTGTTGTGCACAATATAAATGCAAAGCAAACTTGTGGTTAATGTTTCATGGAGCACATCTTTCATTTTATGAACTTCAAACTTTTCTAGCCTTTTCTCAAAGTTTGTATCTTATAGGAAGCATAAACGTTTTTGAAATTTTTAACCAGCTTTAGCAAGCAATGAGTTTAATTTGAGTGAGTTTAAAACCTGACCATTTAACTTTCATCAATGGCACTTCCTTTCGTTTCTTTTCTTTTTTTAAATATTTCTTTATTGATTTCAGAGAGGAAGGGAAAAGGAAAGAGAGAAACATCAAGGATGAGAGTGAATTATTGATTCGCTGCCTCCTGCACGTCCCCCACTGGGGATCAAGCCCACAACCTGGGCATGTGCCCTTGGCCAGAATTGAACCTGGGACCCTTCAGTCTGCAGGCCGGCGCTCTATCCACTGAGCCACACCAGCCAGGGCAGTGGTTGGCAAACTCATTAGTCAACAGAGCCAAATATCAACAGCACAACGATTGAAATTCCTTTTGAGAGCCACATTTTTTAAACTTAAACTTCTTCTAACGCCACTTCTTCAAAATAGACTCGCCCAGGCTGTGGTATTCTGTGGAAGAGCCACACTCAAGGGGCCAAAGAGCTGCATGTGGCTTGCGAGCCGCAGTTTGCCTACCACAGGGCTAGGGCAGTGGCACTCCCTTTCGCTCCCTCTTAGTCTCTCTGGCCAGACCAGAGACTCCGCCACTGTTTTATTGGTGCCAGGTGTGCACACCTTCCTGCCCTTCCCGTGCTTCACCTACAGGCTATCCGTGTCATTCAGGTTTCTTCAGTCCCAATAGGTATGTCATGAGAATATTGCCTGGACAATAAAAGGACCTTAAAGCTCAGTCAGCGTAACTCAGTGGTTGAGCTTCAACCTATGAACCTCAACCTCTGGGCTCATGGGTCGACGCTCATCCACCCAGCCACACCGGCTGGGCTGGGAAATTTCTCTTTATTTCCATTCCTTTCTGTTTTTATTTTATTTTTTTTTAATATATTTTATTGATTTTAGGTTGACCTCGCCGTGGCGCCATATTTTATTGATTTTTAAAATCAATTTTTAAAAATTGGAGAGGGAGCCGAATCCGGTGTGGCTCAGTGGACAGAGCGTTGGCCTGCGGACTGAGGGGTCCCGGGTTCGATTCGGTCAAGGGCACGTACCTTGGTTGCGGGCACATCCCCGGTGGGGGGGTGTGCAGGAGGCAGCTGGTCGATGATTCCCTCTCATCCATGTTTCTGGCTCTCTATCCCTCTCCCTTCCTCTCTGTGAAAAATCAATAAAATATATATTTTTTAAAATTGGAGAGGGATAAAGAGTTAGAAGCATCGATGAGAGAGAAACATCAATCAGCTGCCTCCTGCACACTCCTCACTGGGGATGTGCCCTCAACCAAGGTACATGCCCTTGACCGAATCGAACCCGGGATCCCTCAGTCAGTCTGCAGGCCGACGCTCTATCCACTGAGCCAAACTAGCCAGGGCTCTTTCTGTTTTTAAATCAAGATAATTGACATAGGGCACCGTGTCCTCCTCAGGTGTACGGCCTAAGGACTTACCAGGGCGGGAGGGAGGCAGAGTCGGGGGGACCAGCTGTGGTTATGGGAAATACCCATCCTGCTCTGTACGGCCTGATGGTTTTGTTCTGAAGAAAGGAGTCGCGTGCCGGGAACCGGGGAGTTAACTCGAAATGTGGTCCGTTCTCCATATCCCAGAGCTGCCCGCCATCCTGGGGAGACAGACGCACACACTGGTTGGAGACCCAGAGGCTCCTGCCCTGTGCCGCCCCCAGCCCCCATCGCCTGTCATCAGCAACCATAACGAAACAGCAGGGGTGAGATAGGACAGCTGTAGGGAATTTTGGAAATTTTGGAAATTAGGGGACGGAGGAGGAGCACAGGGCTGCAGAGCCACAGCTGGTGTGTTTCCGTAGGATGCGGGAGCTGGGAGCAGCAGAAGGTCTATGTTTACAAAACAAAGGGAAGGAAGCCCTCCATTCAGAAGAAGAAAGCCCAAAGGGATAGGAAAACAATAAGGAGGTGGGCGGTGGGGAGACCTCACACAAGACCTCACACGTGCCCTGTGAGGTTAGACCTTCAGCCCCCGAGTTACTATAGTAACCAGCCTAGGGGAACAGTGACCAATCAGAGGGGAGATCAGGCACCAGGATCTGCAGCCTTTATCAGCCACAGGGAAGGGGACCCTTTCCCCCTCCCCCTGTGGGAGTCTGTCCTTGTTCTTCAATAAATCTCCACCTTCGCTGTGCCACCCTGTCTGTGGATTCATTCTTCCATTCCGGCAGACAAAGAATCCGGGTTCCGGTTGGAAAGTTCCGTCTCCATAATATCCATTCCTGTTCCTTTTGCCTCCTTCCCCATGAAATCTTTGTCCTTCTATTCATAGCAGCTGGCTCCCCCTAGCCAGTGTTGCTCAGTGGATAGAGCATCCGTCTGCAGACCCAGGGGTCCCCAGGTCCCATTCTGGTCGAAGGCATGTACCTGGGCTGCAGGCTCCTCCCTGGCCTGGGATCTGGGCGGGGGGGGGGGGGGTGTGGAGTAGTGCAGGACACAACCAATCAACGTGCTTCTCTCACATCGATGTTTCTCTCTCCCTCTCTCTTCCACTCTCTCTAAAAATCAATGAAAAATATCCTCAGGTGAGGATTAAAAAAATAATAATAAAATAATACCTTTTAAAAAATAATATCCTGTTTCCCCGAAAATAAGACAGTGTCTTATATTAATTTTTGCTCCCAAAGATGCGCTAGGTCTTATTTTCAGGGGAAGTCTTATTTTTCCGTGAAGAAGAATACGGTACACATTTATTGTTAAATGAAAATAAAGGAAATGTATTACCTGTATACGGTATAGTAGTACCGTAGTTGTCAACACAAACTAGACAAACTGTGAATCCTACAGTATCAAGAATTTACTCATTTAGCTGAAACCGGTTTGGCTCAATGGATAGAGCGTCGGCTTGAGGACTGAAAGGTCCCGGGTTTGATTCCGGTCGAGGGCCTGTACATTGGTTGCGGGCATATCCCCAGTAGGGGGTGTGCAAGAGGCAGCTGATCGATGACTCTCTCTCATCGATGTTTCTAACTATCTCTCTCCCTTACTCTCTGTACAAAATCAATAAAATATATTTTTTTAAAAAAAGAATTTACTCATTTATTCAATGACAATCATGTCATCATCTTCTGGAACATCATCATAACAATCCAATTCCTGAATTTCCTGGTGAATTTCTTGTGACTCCATTTCTTTCAGAATCATTGGACCAAATCTCTCATGTTTAGCCTAGGGGGGGGCCTTATTTTCAGGGGATGCCTTATATTTCACTCAGAAGGAAACCTGTAAGTAAGTCTATTTTCAGAGGATGTCTTATTTTCAGGGAAACACGG